GCTAAGGAGAATTTTGGAAGATATTGGAAAGAAGCAAGGAGAAGCCACACCATTGTTTTGTGACAACAAATCAGCTATTGCAATTTTTTGCAAAGAATCCATGTTTTCATAGTAGAACAAGGCACATTGCAATCAAGTATCACTTCATTCGAGATGCAATTAAAGATGGAGAAGTTGAACTAAACTATTGCAAATCCGAAGGACAAGTGATGGATATCTTCACAAAGGGACATCTGACATCAAAGTTTCAGCAACTAAGAGCTGCTCTTGGAGTGTTCAAGAAAAACACATTAGGGTGGAGAATGTTGAGGTGTAATTTGTTTAGAAAGTCAAAGAAATATTTCTTTATTTTGTCTAATCGAAGGGTTGTAAAATAGACAAGTGTAAGGTTGATTTTATGTATTGTCGTAGGTTAAAATTTCACCTTTTTTAATGTAAAAAGGCTGTTGTACAAAAGATAGAAAANCACCTTTTATAATGTAAAAAGGGCTAATGTACGAAAGATTAAAAAATCAGAATTGCAGCTCAATTATCTCACGTTTTTTTCTTCTTCGCAGACCTATGTTTTTCCCCTGCATCTCCAACTTCTTCCATTATTACTGCTGGTGCATTTATGATGTTATATCCACACATTACAAGTCCATAAAGCTGTATAAACAGCCAAAAGATATGACTACCGGAATAAGCGATATAACTTAATTGAATTAACATAAAATTAGATATATTAGTGTCTTTTCTTCTCGTACACACCCTCTTCATTAGGAATGCTAGTAGCCTGAAACCAATAAACTGACCATATGTCCATACTGATAAAGGTTGGTACCGAGAATGTATTCAAATAGCAAGCCATTTCTCACTGGTTTCTGCTGAAATAAAAGAACAATAACACATAAAATAACATGATTCGACAGCGTGCCCACATCCACATGATAGAGAGGGTTTTGATTATTGATTACTCAATTACAACATCTATAATGTAAACATTGGTGAATTCAATATAGAAACAAAATCCTTTGACTGCAAGAACCACTTACTCCACAAACTGTTTCAGGAAGAATTTTTTTCCAAGAAGTTTCTGCATATGGCCAATTTTCTTAACCATGAGGTAATTTCTACTTTATATATATCCTAACTAAATTCAATTATGTGCACAAGTAGTTTTTATCTATACCCTAATTCCATCACCAGATCTAGATGGACAAGAAAGCAACTACATGGTGTTGGCATATTAAAGCCATTATTGTTGGCAAAGGCAATCGTATGCATCACTTAGGCAAAGGCATGCAAATTTTTCTCTTCATGGCCACCTTCCCATTGAATGTTAAATTGAGAAAATTGCATTTGGTGAAGATTTTCTCTATCTGCAACCATAATTCAGGAGAGAAAATCAGCTGCTATTGTTGACCTTTTTGAGGCAAAATTAATATGGGAGGTGACCAAATTCACTATAAATACGGGATGAAGCTGAAGGAAAAAAAAATGCATTGCAGTGCAGTAGCAACAATTGTAGAGAGGAAGTGGGTATGGAGAAAATAGTGAGTAGAGAGATACATAAAATTATAGATAGAAAATTATTGTTTTGGCCTGAATGTTTTCTACTTAGTTTCTTCCATTACAAAAAAGATCAATTGTTGTTATCTCCTTGTATTTAAAGAGTGTTATTATAGTTCTCTTACTATAGTGAAATCCTTCTATACTTGCTCGTGAATGTAGCCTAAATTGGGTGAACCACGTAAATATTCGTGTCCATTTTTATCTGTATTTTCTCAATTCCATTTTCGTTGTAAACCAAACTTGACGCACATTTTCCTAACACATGGGCACACATGGAGAGCTCTTCCATGATCTTGCGTGCAATTTAAGTATGTCTCCAGCTCTCTGTATTGTTTTTGTTCCACAATTAACTTGAAGCACAAGGCACAGCTTTGTCACGGCACCAATCTGCAACATTTCTTGAAGAACTGCATGAGTTGCAGAGAATTTCGAAATCGAATGTAGAATTCTAACTCCCCTTTCACTTGCAACTTGTGAAACCCTAAGTATTTTCTTTGACACAATGGCCAATCCTGCCCTGTGCTTTAATAATTCTGCTCTTCCTTCTGCACATTGGCATAGAAAATCCAACACCGTTAGCATCATTTCACAAGCCCTTCTGTCTGAAGTGTCGAGTAAAAGGTCGATTAATGAAGACACTGCTCCTGCTTCCACCGCTTTGATCTTGTTTCTTCCCCATGGACAGACAATGGTAAGAATTTTCAGAGAGGATTTTGAGGCCTTTCTAGAAATCTGATCTTTCAAGGTTTGGACTAATTCAATGAAGAATTCGGGTTTTAGGACGGTCAACAGTATTGGATCTTCAACTACTTCAAACATGGATTTCAGTAGCATAACAGCATAAGCTCGAGATTTATAGCTCCCACTCTGAATGATATGCGTTAAGGACTCGATGAATTGATCGCCGTTGTTCCTTAAAAGGGACTTTAGACCGGATTCGGATAATTGGAGATGAACAAGAATGCTTAAAGCTTCATCAGTAATTCTAGTCGATTCAGATAAATCTTCTGATTCTTCAATTGAAGATTCTTCCATGATTTTCTTAACAATCAATGAAGCTAAGAATTCTGCAGTTCCTGCTTTCTCCATGCATCTTTTATTTGTTTCATTTTCAAAAGCTATGGATTTCAATCTCTGGAGACATTTCATTTGCATCTGCGAAGACTTAGCATCTTTGAAAATTTTCAGGAGTTGTGGTTTGCTGATGGGAGCCTTCGGAGTAGGGTATCTTTCGATGCCATGTGACGCGTGGAGGACACACCACGATTGAATAAGTCGTCGAACAGTGATGTTTGGAGCCAATTCTGAATCCGAAATAACTTGTTTCGTAACTGGGCAGGTACTATTATTCCGAGAAAACAACCATTGCTCTATACTTTCTCGATCATATGTTATGCCTGTTGAGACCGTCACAGGGTCTTTCATGATCTCAAGAGTGATCGGGCAAAGAAAATATGGTGGAACCTCAATTTGATCCATTTGAAACTAGTTGTAAAGATCAAGATTTTGAAGTTTTTGCAAAGAAGATGGTGAAGCTGTTGAGTTTTGTGGACTGTTTTGAAGATGTTAAGAGTTGGGGCTTGGGAGGGATTGATTTTAAATGAACAAATGCGACAGATCCATAAGGAAACATCAAACCGCGGAAATTGTGTGTGTGATATGTGTTTTTTAGAGAGGGGTCTTTTTTTTACATGTTTATCTTTGAAAGTTTTGACTTTGACTTTTCTAATATAAGGAATAACAATTGTTCCATGTGTGTGTCTACTCACTGTTTCTCTCTCTAAAATAATTGACACTCTCTCTCTATCTTTAACACAATTGGGTTGGTGGTTTGGATTTTCTTGCTCCTATCCCCTTTTCTTTATTTAAAATAAGCATATAATATTACCTTTAACACAATTTTTTTACTTTTAAATGGTTAAACCATGTCTTATGAGGTTGAGGACTTTGTAAATGGTCGATTGGAGACCTAAATGTCACAAGTCCTTAAGATTACGGACTCCAAATGAAATTTACTCTATTAAAAATAAAAATGGTCCTTCAGATTGTCAAAAGAGCTCTGCTTCTTGTACAGAAGCAGGGTGGCCAAAACATGGCCAGACACTTACAGCAAGGGGTGATTTATTTTTTTCAATATTTTACTCACATGAGGTCTCATGTGAGTTTTCTAGCCAATTTCTGTGGCCAATAACTCTGTACAAACAGAATTATTGTTGTCAAAAAGCCAATTCAACGGCCAAATTCACTGTTCGGCGTCAAACTCATTTCTTCTTCAATCCAAATCAATATTGAAAAAAGAAATATAAGTGCTATATGCATTTCTCTTTTTCTCACACGCACCCACATAAAGTAGCACATGCACAATATTTGAGCGCACATGTGCTTGTAGAAGATTGAACACGTTCTACAAAACTAAGTTCATCCAAGTAGTGATGTTTTCAAATATTAAGTCTATGTTTGGTATAAGTTAAAATTAACAATTAATTTAATTATATATTTTATGGATTCACAATTTTTCAATAACATATTTCATCATTTTTTAAAAATCAAAATCTATTAAAAATCTTATTTTAATTCTCACCATATATGGGGCTAAATAAATTCAACTCTTCATATGTTAAATTTCTCCTTTTCTAAGGCAGTTTCCTACGCCAAGGACGGCGGTGCAACGATGACTTTAGTCTTTGGATTGGAAATTTTGCTTCTTTGATTACTACGCCACTTTTATAAAATTTATGCCTTAAGGTTGGCGGGTTAGTTCCTTAAATGGTCATTGAACTTAAAAAGTATTCTCATTAATCACTTAACTTTACAAATTGGTTCATTATCCTTTACCGAGTAAACGACGCTTGCAAAATTGGAATGATTTGAGTCTACATGTATGTGACCTTTTTTATTCACAAATCGACCAATACATATTTGGGTATTTTTTTTAATAACTGTTGAATGTGTGGCTTTATTCCAAATGTAAAGTTTTTCAAAATATGAATTTCATTAACTTTATGAGATGGATTATTATAGTTTCTAACTAATTATAACATGATTATGTAAAAACCTGATTTATAGTTTCCAAATCCGTGGCATCAAGCCATACCATTAGACATATCGTCAAATCCTTTCAACGTAGTGATGAATGTGGTACCAATTTTCAAAATTAAGTTTCTAATTGTGATACACGTGAAATGTGATGATGAAATGTAACTACAATAATGTAACTTAGATGAATGGATGGAAGAATTTTGTCTGGACAAAATTAGAATAGACTTACTGGGCTGCAGTGCGGGAAATTTATATTTCTATTAACTTGATTTTATACATCAAATTTATATTTCTAGCACTTGGGGGAGGGAAGAGAATTGGGTTGGTGGTTTGGATTTTCTTACACTGTTCAATTTGTGGCCACGGCGTCAAACTCATTTTCTACTTCAATCCAAATCAATATAGAAAAAGGAATTAAACGTTTTATTTACATTTCTCTCTCTCACACGCGCGCACATACACAATATTTGAGCGCACACGTCCATGTAGAAAATTGAACACCTTCTGACAAAACTAAAGTTCATCTGAGTAGTGATGTTTTCAAATATTAAGGCCCTTTTTTTTTTGTCGTTTTCAAGCCGTTTTCTATTTTTAGTTTTTGAAAACAGTGAAAACACGTTCTTTTTCTATTTTCGAAAACGCATTTCTGAAAATGGAAAAAAAAAATAACACTGAAAATGGAAAACGGGTAAAACCACGTTTTGAAAATTTTCTGGCCAAAACACGGGAACTGGCCAAAACAC